CTGATACGGGGTGTGCTGCTGAGCGGCTTTATTTCTTTCTTTTCTGTCGTCGGGTTTTCCAAAAAGAGCAGCTCCTTTTAAGTCTGAGTCCCTGTCTTGTCCGTACCTCCACGTTGCCTTGGAGTGGCATTCCCGAGCCTCTGTGTCTGAGACGCTGGAAAAGGGATGCCAGAAAGACTAAGCTCTGAGCGGTTTTAAGGCTCGAAGTGCTTCAGGGGAACGCGGCCAGTTCAGCTCAGCCCAGAGCACCGCGTGTGGTTCAACTCACTGTTATAAACCCCGAGCGAACCGACGCCTTCAATAGTTGAAAGTGTCAAATGAAAACCATCGGGTTTTGGTCCGATAAACATCACCCCGCAGTGCATGAAGCCTGAGCGTTGCAGCGCTGTCAGGCAGAAAGTTACACTGACCACAAGTGAACTGAGAGGAAACAAACTCGTTTTGTGACTTTCACAAGCCAAGTGAATGGCGAATGGTTTACACTCCTAAAAATTCTGTACCTTTAAGTTTTCATAGGAAAAAATAATGGAGTTGGCAGAGTCCTATTAAAATAAATGTGAGGTTTAATGTTGTGAATGTGCTTGAAAACCCAAGGGATTATCAGTGATCACGGTGGGACTGTTTTTCTTTGATGCTATTAGGTGTGCACAGCTCTACGTGACAGAGGATTTAAGCAGTGATTTCTGAAACGAGTTTACTTGGCAAAGACAAACAAAGCTCTCTAGGCTGCATGGGCTGTAGCCTAGAGCTGGATCTTGGGAAGTCCTAATCATTGGCATAGTTTTTGCACCTGCAAATAAACACCTTGAGTGTAGGGCTGTGATTTTACCTTCAGGCAAATTTTTCATGATGTTGGCAAGGATTTAGCCCTGGGCAAGAATTAAAATGAAATGTTCACTACTGGTGTGCTGCTGCGTGCCACTGACTCGTTGCTGCTCCCCCCTTTTCAGTATTTATTTATAAAGTACATCTTGGGACACAGGTCCTGTTTTCCAGATTAATTGCTATGAAAATGTGGATACTGGATGCTTTGACACTTTTTCAGTTCTTTCGCTCCTTTTTGCCACAGGAAAACTCGTGCTGGCAGGCAGGGAGCGACAGCACTTGGAGTGTGTTACGCTGGGAAGGCTCTTTGGTCCAGAGCTTGCTGTTCAGTCATGCTCAGTATTGCATAATGCTGCTTCTTGCTGGAGAGAGCCATGTCTGGACAGAGGGGCACCCCTTTCATCCTGCCTTGGTCAACCCACACACACAATGCATCAGTGAGGATTTGGCACATGGCAGAGTACTGTGAACAGCTGGCATCCCTCTGTGGCAGCTGGGTCAAATCTGTGCCCAGGCTTGTGTCTGGATATAGGCAATAGGACAGTGGATGTGTGTGGAGAGGCTCAGGTGAGCTGAGAAATTCACATTTATTTGCAGTGGTATAAGAATTTCCAAGTTACGTTTATTTTAGGTAGCTCTCCACATGTGTGGTTGACCTTAAGATCCTTATGCAATATGACTCACAGAACAGGAAAAAAATCAGGATGTTTGGAAGGTTCCATCCTTCTTAGGAGTGGACCTGACACTGTGTGGTCAACTTCCCTTTGGCGACTACTCAGTCCTGCAAAACTGAAATGTGAGTCTGACCTGCTCTCACAGAAGTCAATAACAGTTTTGTTAAAACCATCGATGCCAAGTTTAACATTAATGAAAATGAAACTAAACACTTTTAGAAGTCCTTATCCTTAAAGGAAGTAAAACAGAAGTCTGTCAACTGAGCACAAACACCCCGTCTCTTCCCAGGACACCGCAGGGGGCTCAGCAGTCCAAGTTGGCCCCACTGGGTTTCTGTTCATCTCAGCTCCTTCTGAACTCAGTTGAAGTTGTGCAGTCTCACCTCAGTGTAGGATCAAACCCTACAAAAAGGAATCTGGTGAGAGTGATGGCAGAGTGTGCTGAGATCTTGCTGACAGACTTCAGAGCTTGTTCCTGCTGCTGAAGAATGAAGACCTGCTCGAGAGCAAAAGTGCTGTGGGAAACAGCATCTAAGTTGGTATCCAAAGTCTTTGTTCTTGCTTTCAAATGAATTGTCTTTTAACCTTTTTTCCTTCTCTAAAGGAGTCCCTCTTGTGTTGGAGGTGCTGCTGTGACAATGTGTAGTGCCATCCCATCAGTCCCCCGGTGATACTTTTCACACTAGAACAGTTTACACTTTTCCTTGGGAAGGCAAGAGATTGCCTGTCTTTTCATAAAATAGACAAATTTGATTCTGTGTTACTCTTCAGTAAAAGTCTCATTTTTCTTATCTTAGTGGCATATTACACTTTGTCTCATCTTCTGAGTAACTTTGCAATAAATGCCATGCACTCAAAACTACCAGTAAGATGGTTGCTCTCATGTACAAATAACCGGACAATAAACAGCTGAGGGCCAAAAGGGATTGCAGCATGGATGGATGTGATTAATTCCTTATAGATCCAAGGATTCAGAGATATTTAATGAAGAAATTATACAAAGGACTCCGGTGCTGTGTATATCCCAGGGTTTGGGAAGCAGGACAGGAAGCTGCTGATGAAAGAGGGTTGCAACCTTCAGGACATGCCAAGGATGTTGTGTGGGGCTCAGGAAGGGGCTTTGCCAAGGTCTTTGCAAAAGCTTTGGGTGCCAGAACTTTTAAAAGGGTGGTACAGATGGGATCTTGTTAAATCATAGAGCAATGCACATATGGCTGCAAAGGGGTCATGATCCCCTGTGTATCTCACTCCTATAATGTGCACATAAATAAGACTTGAGCAGTGCCTGTTGTAAACTCTTGCTTTAGTTCAGGTGGTGTTAGATCTACTGAAATAATTCAGTCTATTGACATAATTCAAGGAGAATGCATGAATGTGATCAGGCCGTACCAAGCCCTAGAGACAAAGATGCAGGGGAGAAAGGGAAAAGTTCCTGATGGCAACTTTAACATTCAGCTTTCCCTGGCAATGATTTACAGAAAGTGGCATGAGATACTTTCTTCGTAATTCTTCCTTCTTTCTTATGCTGCAAAAGTGAGTTTGTCCAAGCCTATCCTTGGGGAGTTGTTCCCTAAAGAAGCTGACTCTGTTTCCTTTCCTATCTGAAAACATTTATTCTCTGGCAGCTCTACTGGACAGGAGATTTATGTATCACCCATGAAGTTCCGCTTTGCTGGGACACCAGGGTTGATGGACTTCTTGGCAATATGGCAATGTCTTAGTGGCATAGTTGGTAAGAGAAATTTGTTTCTCCTAAGAAGAATTTCACCTCTGTAAGGCTAAACTCCTGCTGAACATTTTCAATAAATTTAAATAAAATAAAAAAAATAATAAATCTCTTTTAACCTTTGAGGTATTTAATTTGGAAATGTCTCCTGGGGGTTGCAGGTCAGGCTACAATCTATCCCTGCTCTTTCCTGAGCTCATGTCGCTGTAGGAATGACTGATGTTCCCATGAAGTACTGTATTTCCCTTTGTGTTAGGCAGCATAATATATTGTAGGAAACCCCTGTGGTTGTGCCTCGTGGGATGTGTACTTTGGCCAGGGAGATAGACTCAAGACCTGTCCACCTCCACAAACCATCCAAATGCTTTATTTATGCACTGAAGCATTAATGAATAGAATGAAGAATTGAAAATAAGTAAGATTTTGATTTTTCCAGTTTATAATTAATTGTAAGCACAAATTATTTGGTGGATAATGAACAGAGTCCAGGAAATACAGATCAAGTTTGGAATTGCAATTTGTGGAAAATTTTCAACCTGACAAAGAAAAGAGAAGCTGAAGGAGAGGTATCTAGGATAAACTCTTGTTTTCATACCATCTTCTGAGACGACGGCAGCCTTTACTTTCACAGAAAAATAAGACCAGGAAAAGGTTTGGGATTAGATTTTTCTTTTTGGGAAAGTGTGCAATATCAGCTGCACTCTGCTGGTGTAGATCACCATGTGTACCTGCTGATGAGAGAGGGAAACCATGGGGAACATTAGAGGACCCTTCTCTATTTGCCATGTAATCTTCTTTCAGTACTGCTTAATACCTGGAATAAAAAGAGGAGGCAGAGTCATGCGATCCATCAAATCATCAGCATTTCTGGGAAGCACCAGCGAGCACCTCTTGCATGACTGATCGTAGGTGTGTTGTTTGCAGAGAAGAGTGTCATGGGACTTGGGGAACAGGTTGAAGGTTTGGGGGCTTTCCATTATTTTCTTCTTCCCCCTTTAGGAGATGCTCTGTAAGACGTGCTCACCCACCCCCAGCCTGTGTGTGACATCTGGGGTGAGATGGGAACAGGTTTGGAGTAAAAAGAAAGACAAATAGGAGTCCTTCCTTGGCCTGTTTGGCAAGGACTTGTATCTAAGTGAGTCCCTGGAGCAGCAGAGCGAGCCTGGTCCATTAGCGAGTGCCCTTTGCTTGTGTGTTTGCCAATATGAGTTCTGTTTTAATTATTTATGCTAATTCATCATAATGCACGGATAAATATTCTGCAGTATACTTAGTAAAAAATAATGAAGTCTTAGTCATTGGAGACCTTACCACACGCCTCTGCTGTTGCAGCTCCAGACTTGTGGAGCTGCCCTGTGTTTGTGTGTGGTTTAAGGAGGTGAGACTGTGCCTCAGTCACTGGGATCAGCCAACATGACAGGCCGTGGTCACCAGGAGTTTGCTGGGAGGAATGAGAAGGGGCATCAGAGCCTGGGGAAGCCACTGTCTGGGTAATGTGAGTGGCTTGTGATTCCCAGCCATAGCTTTGGAGTCACTTCAGCAGCTTGCAGGTGCCCAACGCTTGTTTAGGCATCCAAACTGCCTCTGAAATTACAGACATTTGGTGGGAATAGGTGTGTTTTCATCTACAGCTTATGTCTGTGCTTGGGCATTGGTGCTGACAGCAAGACCCATTCTGTAGTGGTACCCGCAGGTTGAGTTGGTTTGCCCGCGCATTCCACATTGTCATGACTACGCTGGTAGCTTGAGTTTTGGTGCTGCTCGTGCCTGCTCGATGGGCTCCTGGGAGCTGCAGGCACACGATTCCATGTTGCACAGGTGTATGCCTCAGTGTTCCCCAAACCCCTGGGGATGCAGGTCCCTGAGCACCCTTTTGGCAAGTCCAATCCTCAGCTCAAACCATGCAATGCAGCCTCGTCTGGATGGGCATCAAGATCCACCGTGGTCAGCGATGCATGAGGGAGGGCTTGACGTGTGGGTGAGCATCAGCACTGCCAGTGTCAGCAAACACTCAGCAGCTGCTCTTTCAGTGCTGTCAGCTCAGCCTAGGAATAAAAGCTTCTCAAAAAGAAGTCATAGTCCCTGGTGTAATGTCTATAAAACTGAACAGTCCCAAATTTCATCAATTTATTGAGCAGTGATACAGCAAAGCCCCTCCAGCAGCCAGCAAATCAAATTTTTCTTCTCTTTTATGAACTTGGTGTGAGGAGCAGCACCATCTCAGTGCCACCCCAGCAGTTCTGGAGATACTGCCGGCAGTTAAGCCCAGGACTAGACTTACTGCAGTATCTCCAGCCTGGACTGTGGTTGGAAGCACCACTTTGTTCATAAAAGCCATCTCAGTTTCCTCACGTGCCTCTGTTTGTTCCTCGCAAACATTAGATCATGACAGGACACAGCAGGGTCTGGGCTCCTCTGGAACAGCTGCTGGGTGGAGAGGGCACCTGGGTTTTACTTATTGTTTTAACCTGAGAGGGAGACTAGGAAAATGGTACAAAAAATGAACAGGGAGAAACTTTCCATGCCCATTTTGCTCATTTTGCTGCAAAATGTAGAAACACTCAAAACAAATTTGATGGGAAAAAATAGTAACTAAAGACTATTAACAGCTGTATTAGAAAATGAATACATATATAAAACACCAGTCATATATCAAGGTGTGCTTGAATGTGTACAAGTGAACATGAAGGTGCCCCAGCAATTCCTACTTCTCCCTAAGGTCACCTCAGAAGCTACTCACCCTGCACATTTCTGTTCTTTTTTTGGGACTCTCTGTCTTCAAATATCACTTGATTAAATCCTGTTTAATTATAGGTTACCCAACATACAAACCTGTGCATGTATGTTGAATACAATTCTGTATCTCTTGGTCATCAGAAAGTCCTTTGTAGCATTGAGATGCATGTGCAATATTCAAAGACAAGGTCTGAACTGGAATAATTTGTATCTAATTTAACAGCTGTAGTAAACTTTCTAATCAAAATCTGTCAAGTGAGTGTTAACATCATTTATATCTGTTTAAAAACATAATAGATTGTTGACCTTAGATGTAGCCAGGTAGCTGAGTGGCTGGGTACTACCATGATCAGCCTTGCATGGTATAAATAAATTATAATGTTTATTCTTGTATTTAATAATGCCATATTCCCTTCTCGTATTTAATAGTGCCATACTCTCTTCTTGTGCGTGGAACTTTACAGAAGGAATGGAGCCATGGAGACATTGCATCTGCTATTGCTTCTGGCAGATACTGTATTAAATAGAATAACTTAAATATTAATAGCTTTGCAGGGAATGTGGTCTGCAAGAGCTGTTAAGTGTATGCTGCTTTCTGTCTCAGGATGGTAGCTGGGAAACTTAGCGTTTTCTGTGGAGAGAGGGACACGCCCTGGGATATTTAGGTTCATGGTAACCTACTTTGGAAAAAGGCACTTTGGGAGAACTTCCAGGCTGGAAATCCGTAAATTGCCTTCCCCAGCCTTAAGTGAGCAAACTACTTAAAAGTCTGTTTGACTTGGAGCAAATGATGTCAGGAGGAACCTATCCAAGGTGGCACTGAGGTAATCCAAAGCAGAACAGTGCGACTGAGATTTGGTGGAAAGCAGCACTGGATATCATCATCTTCCTCTCCACAACCAGCTCACTGTTCTGTTCAGGCCTGGTGAGATCCTTCTAAGCTCCACTTCTCTACAGGATCTATCACAGGTCTTCATCCCTTCCAGAGCTTAACAGCTACCTCTAGTTGTAGTCACCAGGATAACACCTTGTCCTCCTTAGTGGTGCAAACCATGCTGAGGTGGAGGTTTAATATATCTAACACTGCTAAATCTCAGTTGGAGAGATGCTGAGACCCTGGCATGAGAAGCCTCCAGTGTCTCTTGAGATGCCCTGTGCTCTTACTCCCTTCTCCTACGTGCATTAATCTTGCCAAAATCTTTCCCAATTTACTTTTTCTTGGGTGCTGGTCCGTGGTGGTGGAGCAGTACAGATCCATTGTATGGCAGCAGCAGTGCAGGACTCCTCATCCTCTGGGTTGACTCTTTTACTTTGATTTCACACACTTTTGTTTTGTGGATACTTACATCTCGTTTATCCCCCCAGTTTTCAGAGCTGGGGCTGGGAGCTGTATGAATGTGTTTTGCATTACTTTGCCAACCTGTGTTAATTTGTGATTGTCATGTTGACCCTTCAGTGCTGTTTTTTAATCTCAGATGCTTTTTATATTTACTTTATTCTGTCCTCACTAGTGTCTTGGTCACCTTCTATATTAGTACCTTATAATTTTTTGCTAACATTCAATTTAGTTCTTTTTCCAGATCATTAAGGAAGCATTTAATAAGGCCAGAACTAAGAAACTCCATTCAGCATTTCACTAAATAAAAACTTCCCCCCCCGTTAATGCGATATCATTGTTTAAGGCTTTATTTATATCTCTGAACCCATTTTTTAATGTCATGGTGTTTCTCATGGTCATCTGAATTAATACTAGAACAAAGACTTTATGAGATACTGCACCTGTGTCAAAATTGCAAACAGTTCCGCATTTCTTTTTGTTCAAACCTGAGTTTTGTTTATCTATTTAGTTCTGTGATGTGCATTTCATTGTTGTCTTCCTATCTCAGATATTTCATGGTTTTGACATGGTGTGTACCCCATATAACAAAATAATTCATTGTTCCTAGTACCATCCACCTCTAAAGTAGAGCTAAAGCAATGCTGAAAGCTTAAATGTCCTAATCCATCCAGGTCCTAGTTCTTCTATATTTTATAGAAGCCATTAGATTTGGGTTATATCTAACTTTAGGTGAACGACAGAGATGTTAATACTAAACTAGAAGACTCTTTACAGGGAATTCCCCACTGACTGTAAATTCAGAGTCTAAAATTTTCTGCTTTCAGTGGGGATGGAGAAGAAGCAAGTACAGCTGCTGAGGGACTGATAGTGAAATCCCCAAAGCGCCCTGTGGGGAGCTGCCCACCAGCTCTCAGCAGTGCAGCATCAGCTCTGCTTATCTTTGCTCCCCTCATGCCTCCCCATGCAGGGCTCAGAGCGTTTATGAGGAGGGATTACACCCTGAGGAGGGAATGTCAAGAGCAGCTGATTGAAATTGCAGGGGAATTAATTTAGGAAGGTAATTACACGAACTGGAATTTGCTCTTCTACCTTTGCTAACATTGCTGCTCTTGTGAGACGTGCTGGAAGAATTTCAATGCACACAGCTGGCTGAGGCTCCCTGATCACACCTCAGACACCGTCTGCGCCGTGCCACCAGATGCACAGGGCCACAGCTCAGGACCAGCCTTGCTCTGCAGCTATGACAGCAGCTTTCCTCATGCCTAGAGTAGTCATTAACTATTTCAAGTCTAATTGGCAGAGCCATACCAGCTATGTCCCCAAGCAGTGACACACATGACCGATAACACTGCTGGATGACCTGTCTCATGGTTTTGTTCTGAGTGACTGAGCACAGATCAGGTGTTACCACAGACCTGGGACCACTCCCAGTAGGAGTCTGAGTGGGGCTCCCTGCTTTGGAGGCAAGTGAGGTCAATGATATGGACATTGGTCATGCCAGCTGGCCTCATGGACAGAGAGCAGGGCTGAGCAACTTTGGGTTACTAGAAAAGAGAGAATTCTTATATGTGAGATCTTACCAATTTGAGAATATCCTCCTGGGTCTATGCAAAAAGCCACTTTTTTGGGATAGAATCTTAAAATAATTTGGGATGGAAGGGACCTTTAAAGGACACCTAGTCCAACCCTCCTGCCGTGGGCAGGGACACCTTCAACTCGAGAGGTTGCTCAGAGCCTCATCCAACCTGACCTTGAATGTTTCCAGGGATGAGGCATCCACCACCTCTCTGGACAACCTATGCCAGTGTTTTACCACCCTCATTGTAAAAAAATTCTTCCTTATACCTAATATAAATGGACACTCTTCTAGTTTAAAACCATGACCCATGGAATAAGACCCTTCACTTAGATAAAGACCCAAGAAATCCTAACCCACTGAAATAGTACAGGTTTCACCCTATGTGTGTGTCCAGTAACACATTTTAGATTCTATAGCTTTTCTTCTTCCTGTTCATGGGACTTTGCCATGGCTTTTGCCTTTTCTGTTTCAACATTCCTTGTCCTGATCAAACTCCCGTGGAGGTTCAAACACTTCACCCCCACATCTTGGCATATTAACAAAAGAATACATTTTTGTGGTACAAATCCAGGAGAAAGAGCCTACTGATCTTTCGTTACTAAACTTCTTACTTGTGTAAAAGATAGAAGAAGATATTATTAGTTGTGTTGCTGCTGATATTTGGGTATTTCTCCTGAGTTTGTCTCACTCATAATTGTAGATGTTGCTCCATTACCTTGTTGGGTTCTGGGTGCAGAGGTGGGATCTGACAGAGGCAATTCCTACTCTCAGAGTATGGTGCTATCACATAGTACATTGTCAAATATGCTACTTTTTTCAGTGTTAAATTACTTAAACGAACTGCATTTCCCTGCTTTTCCTCAGGGCTCGAGCGTCAGTCTCTCCACAGTCACGATGGGATCCATCCATCTATCACATTATCTGAGGAAGCTGTCTGGAATCCTTTTATAGATGCTGAAGAAAAACAGGAAATGGAACTTTCTGGAGTGCAATTAATCTCATTTTAAAGACAGTTCTAAACTAGGTGAGATTAATCACCTCTTGCAGCGCCTGAAACTTTTTGCCGACTACAAAGGAGACCTCATGTGACTAACTTAAATTTGGGTATTTGCACCGAAAACACCTGGGGAATGGGAAACTTTTTACCTGACCTGATAGGCAAGGATCAAAGCCACATTGAAACAGCTGACTTTAGACATGTTCAGTAGGTATTTAACTTCTCTTTATAGTCAGTGGAGATCTAGTCAATACAGTCAATGGATTTTTTTGGTGCAATTCATCCAACCAGATGTGGGGGTCTGCTTTACATGGAGATAAATTACACCTTCAGCTCTACTGAGCAACTCTCCGTTGTCTATAGCAGGAGCTGAGGGGACTTGATCTCTGGTAAATGTCTGCAGTAAAAGCCACAATCATACAGAAAAGTCGCACCTTTAAAGGCAAGAGGAATATGACCCATATTATTACATAGGCTTTTATTAATATTAGGCTCAATTCTAATTCCCTTTCCTCAAGAGTTTTACATATGTGTCTACTTATTATCCCAGGCCATGACAAGCCTATGGTCATCCCTGACATGATGCCAAAGAACATATGATTTCAGTAGCTTTAATATTTTTCTCTAGTTGGGAATCTTGAGCTTACCTTTCCACTTTCCCTTTGTTCTCTGTTTTACCATGGGCTTTATATCCCTGAGCCCTCCCATAAATTTGCTCTTGGTTTATGATCATAGTTGCAGTTGATCTTGAGGTCGCACTCAAATCCAGACATAACTACCTTTTGTACTGAGCTTCAGATCCAAGCCTGGGATTGCCTCTATTTTCCCTCCACCTTCTTGTGGCCATTCAGGATTTACCTGGGCACAGGTGTTACTGTGGTGGGAGTTTGCCAGCAACAGGCCAGTTTCCTCCTATTCCTGAATTTCTGTCCATTTACATTACTTCTCTTGACTCCATCTCTCAAAATTGCCTCACCTTTCTAGCAGGTGTCTTTTAGGGCCCAGAAAACACTTTGTGAGTGGTTTGGACGTTGCCCTTTTGAAGCCTGTAACGAGTGTAAAAGGTCAATTTGAATGGCCTGGTGTGAATGAGGATGATTGTGAGGGTCATTCATAAGCTCAGAGTGTTTTTTAAGTGCTACAGTTTTCTCTATAAAGTTGGAGACTTTGCAGAAATGTAGGCACCACTCAGTATTTTCAAGGGCGTGCTCACTTTCATACACCAGCTGAATCAGAAAACTAGCATAATTGAACCTAATACTGAAATCATCGGAGAACTGTACAAAATCTGGAGGCATGCAAATGCCCTGACATAAAGAAGTGGTTTTAGATGGTGGTGTGTTCCTTTTATAGCTGCTAGTTTGCATTTTGCTTGTTTTTGCAGAAATACTGAGCCAGCAACCTCTTTTAGTCATGTCAGTGCAAATGTAGAGTAAATCTATTACAGTCAGAAGAACAATTGGTTTTGGCCGCTGCACCGCAAGCTTGTTCTGGACTTACTACAAAATCTTTTCATTTTTTACTGATACTCTCTGCTTGTACCAGAGGCCAAGATCTCTGGCAAGGTACTTCCCTTCTACAACAGACTTGTCCTCTCACTAAGGTAAGACAGAATGGGATAAATAGGAGAGATGGAGATCCCCTGGCAAGAAAACAAGCAAGCACCACCCTGTCCCAGAGCTTCCAGTATTCACACCATGGTGTTCATCATGTTGGGAGCTGATTTATATAAACACTTCCTTCCCTCTCTGCTCCTCAAAGATGAAAGAGGATTTTTCCTACCTCCTAAATCCAGTTATTTGGCTAACAAATCCAGTGCAGATAAGCTGGGGAAGTTAAGCAAGTGAAGCACCGTCTTTTTGCCCATTTCTTGGTGAAGGTTGTGTCTGATCTTGGAGTTGTAGGAGGGAGTTGACAATTACAACCATAAAACCTTGTAGTTTGTAAGGTTTTAGAGGCCTCCAGTCCAGTCTCTATAGCAGGGTTAACTTCACAGTCAAATCAGGTTGCTTGAGGCTGTATCCAGTTAAGTTTTATGCATCTCCAAGAGCTGAACTACTTTATATTGTGAGGAGTGATGAATTTGGTTGCTCTTCACAGATATGTTGTTTAATGCATTTCTTATAACAGGTAGACTTCTAGGCCAGGAGTCTTCTTCCCTCCCCACTCCATTCAATCCTAAGTATGCATGGATAGAAGTGAGATGTAACATCTGGACAGAGATGCTGGGCAAGTCAGCCCACTGTGGAGGAAAAAATGCTCCAAATTTTTAGCTACAAAGAGAGTTGTGTGCCGCTAGGCTAACTAACACCAACACTGCCTATGTTTGCAGCACTCTCTCTGGGGGATGCTAGGAATAACCTTTGGTGTAATCAGTACAGGTAACTGAGAATAGGAAGCCTTTCCCAATGACTTCTCTTTTTTTTTTTTTTTTAACTGTAATTTGACATTTCCACCAAATTCCCATCTCTTTCTTCTTGTCCCTCACTCAATCCCATATTATCTCCTTCCCTTGGTGGCATTCATAGCCTTGTTACCAAAGAACAGTACCAGTCACTGAATCATCCAGCTCTTCTTTGTGTCTTTCCTCAGCCTTTCCTACTTTGACTATGACAACAGAGTTCAGTCCAACTTAAAATCTGTGGACCTAAGTGCTGATATCAGGTTGACAGAGCTGACATGACAAATTGTCTCCTATCCAGATATAGCTGTATTTACCTTTTGGTCTTTTTTACACTTTTTTATTTAACTTATTGCATTTTAACATTGAGTTCACCCATGTCAGGATTAAAACTGTGCCTCAAATTCCCTCAGAGTAGAGACTCAACAAGAATTACTTTGTCCATATGGTGAAAGGTAGTTTAGGTACAGGAATTATCTCTGAATCACCTTGTTTCCTTAGTGTTTCTCTTTTGCTTGCACAACTCCCTGATGTTAAATATGGCATTTGGTGCTAAGGTGCTTCCGCTGAGCCAGCCTGTGACTTTGAGCACAGCCCAGAGTTAGAGCCCCTACCCAAACAGCATCCTTGTAGGAGAAGAGTTGTTTTAATTCAGACCCACACACTTCTGAGTCACGGCTCCTGATCACTCTTTGCTCCAGGGGTGACGGTGGTGTTAGGGAAGGACTGATTTATTGATGACCTGTGTAGGTAACAGCTTTCTTGTGGTGACTCAGCTGTTCTCTCGAGAAAGAGGGAACATGAAGTGGAGGTGGACACCCATCTCTCTTCCCAGAAAGGGTACAAACTGAACTAATATCTGTTCCTGATCTCAGTGGTAGGAGGAAGTGGTTTAGTAGCATGACATACAGGCTAATCCATGATCTGCATGTTACTACATACACAACTTGAGCTGTTGCTCCCAGAGTCAAGGTGATAACACAGCATCCTAGTTTGCAGCTCCGTTTGCAATTGGTGTTGATAACCAAGAAATTAAAGATGGGAGCTCTTGGTGTGACAATAAATGAACAGCAACTTTCTCTAGCAATTGAGTGTATAGGCAGGGCTGAGTTCCTAAATCACCATATTCCCCAGCAAATGGGATGAGAAAGAACATTGCTCCCAGAGACCAAAGCAGGACATAATCACCTCCGAAACAACATTTTGTTGGACACCATAGGGAAGCTCTTCTGTTACAGAGTAATATCTTGCAGTTTTCTGGAAACAGTAACTCTAAAGAAAACATCATTAGGATGAGCGAAGAAAAGAGATTTTGAGCAGATGGAAATCTGTCTTCATTGGCAGTGCTTGTTTTCACTTATTCTACCATGAGCTAATTTCTCAGCAACTTGAAGTAGATAATGTGTTTATAAACCTTAATCTGAGTTCTCCATCAATGTTTGTTCCAGTCTATGAAGACTGGGAGTTTCTGTTATACTAGAGGGCTTTTTAATTGCATAAATGATGATATAACACGGTTGGAAGATGATGCAAGATAAATTTAGGCTATATATAAGGTCTAATAGGGGAACAGATATCTGCTGGAAGAATTTGCACAAGAAATTATCAATTTTCCACTTGTCATTTTTAAACCAAACTTGAAGAATTTTCTAGAAGACAGCTGTAGGCTATAGCTTTGCTGCAAAATATGGGCTAAATCAATAATTCTGCATATTCTTGACTGGTGATTAAGCAAGACTTAAAGTTATAACTAGGAATATGGTTTTTTTTCTAATTTAGCAACAATAAGATAAGTAAATGAGAAATGAAGTAACTCAGAAAAAAGATATATACTTATATCTTAACTGTATTGTTAACATCATAATGTAACATAACAGAAGCAGTAGCAGTTATAGTAATTGGGCTGGGATTCTTAAGACTAAGTGTGGTTATGTCTTCCCTGTAAATATCTAAATGTGTCATTTCAATCTCCTCAGATGCTGGTATAAACCACTGCTGCAGGAGCATTGCTGATGTTCAACTCATCCTGAAGTAAATGATGACAGGGATATATCACATCCTGATTACCAGCAATGATACCAAATAAATAGGTATCACTTGACTGTAATGGGAGATTCAATACATGACTTAGATGTAGACACCTACATTACAAACACTAACTTTGTGAGATGAATCTTATCCTAATCACATTGTTGGAGGCCTTGTGGGGATAATAACTTCACAAAGTACTCAGACTGGAGGGTAGAACAGAACTATCCTTTTTGGCCTGAAGATGACTGCCCCGAATACGAAAATCTCATACAGTCTAAAATCTGGAACACCTGTCTCAAAACATGTAAATACATGAACCAAGATCACCAGATTTTTGCAGTGCTGAATTCTGATTCACTCTTGTACCTAAATCTTGTTGTGGTGCCTCTTAGTCTCACCTTGTGGTGACCTCTGTTGATGTCCCTCAGGCTTGTGCATGCAGAAGGTAAAGCCTCATCTAGCATAGCTTTGCAGGACTAGGGTCAGAAATTGTTGCTGGTTTCTCTGGTCAATGTAGTCCCTACATTAATAGTGAAATAATAATTGCCAGAATGTGGTGTTTTGTTTTTGTGTT